ATCTATAATATTACTACAAACTTTTGTACTATATAAATACTTTACATAGGGCGCCATCTTCCATAATTCTAATATCCTTGTATCTCGCTAAAATTTAAATTAATAGATAGCGCTTCATGCTTGCTTTAAGCATCGATGCGACCTGATGATATTTTACTATGTAGTATAGCTGTTTTACAAATTACATTTAAAGAATGTATTTGAAGCCATTGTATTTCCAAGTCATTAGTCAACATGGCTCAAACATGCATAAAATTAACCCCGAAATCATTCAATGAATATCACTCATTAGTGATATGATAGAGAATACTCACTATTAATGGTCCTAAAAAATACTTATATTTGACTTAAAATGGACCTTAAATGTACTTACAATGAAATTATACAGGATTTATTTTGGACCTAAAATGGACCCAAAATAGATTTATAATGGACTTTTATAGGACTTATAATTGATTAAATTGGAAAATGTACCTAGCTTAGTACAGTCCAGATGAATAGTGTACTTTACAAATTGTGTGAACTAGTGAATGTGAGTGTGTGTGTGTCTTTTGGAAACCTTTAAACGTATATATCTCTGGTTACCAGGTTATGTTAGGTTCAATATATAAATTAATTAATTCAATAAACGATCAACGGTCATAGGTACATTCGTAATTCACCCGTAACTCTATAAATATATATTTTTTCAAATTCTGTTTTCCCAATATTTTTTTTCACAGCGTGGTGAAGTAACAAAATCAATAATACAATTTTTTTTTTGGGTTGTGTATGCCTTTAATTTCCACCCATCCGAGAAGATGGTTCATGTTCCATTGCTTCGGTGATCAAATGCAAAATTTGTTAAATATTAACCGTTGTAAGTTGTAATTTACAACAAACATGTTGTAAGTTATGCGTAACAACTTCTGATGCCATCTAGACAATACAAATATTCTAACATGTAAATATTTTGATGTCCTATACAGTAAAAACAATAATGTCAGATGTATTTTTAATCATTTGCAATATATAGTTTAATTATTGCAAAAACTTTAAAAGACATAACATTTCTGGTCACAACACACACACACACACACACACTTACAAAATATTAAAAAAAATGATTGTGTGTGTGTGTGTGTGTAAGAAGAAAAGAAAGATAAAGACGGGGATGAAGACGATGATCAACATCAACATCAACACCAACTTTAACTATTACGTCAGCGTCTTTACAACGTTAACGTCATCGTCATAAATATCATCATCGTCATTACGTCATTATTATATTCTTTTTACACACACACAATAATTTTTCATATATTTTGTAAGTGTGTGTGTGTGTGTGTTTGTTTGTGAGTGGGTTTGTGACCAGAAATGTCCATTATAAATCTATTTTGGGTCCATTTTAGGTCCAAAATAATCTTATATAAGTCCATTGTAAGTACATTTAAAGTCTATTATAAATACATTTTAAGTCAAATATAAGTATTTTTTAGGACCATTATAAGTCCATTTTAGGTTCAATATAAGTCCATTTTATGTCCATAATTATTACATTTATAATTGTTACGTCTTGTAAGTGGCTATAACCTGTGAGTATAAATGTGTTTTTTTTCTTCACTTATATAATGTAATAACAAAGTAGTCGACGTTAAGATTTGTTGTATAATATGCAAATATCTTCGCAGTTTGGTATTTATTAATAAATACTTCTATATTCTATTTATTGATTATGAACGTTGTATTACAATAATTATAGCATTTACAATCAATTTTAATACCTACTAATGCGTTAGTTCTACTTATATTATACTAAAGGTAAAAGTTTTTAAACGATTTCATATACATTTATATAAGGTTCAGTATTAGTTGGTTTGTTCAACGCTTTATCCCCCCCCCCCCCCGAGTTACAGAAATGTAGTTCTGGGTTTTTTTCAAGGGTGTGATTCTGACAATCTTGGTGACTGCATTTTATTTAACAGTGGTGGTTAAATCATAAATGTCGATTCGTTGATATCGAGTAACGTGAAGAATATTCTATTCAAACCTGTATAAAAAAATGAAACATAAGTCTTCCGTCTTCCACATTTTGCAATGTCAAATCAGTAATCTGTTATTGCAGTATCAAAACACGCCAAATGGCTCTTAGACTACAATTTTTCCATGTACAAAAGTCGACTTTAACCGTTTAATCTTTATGATTTGTTTATGTTTGTAAACAAAGAGGATTCAGATCTTGTCCTTGCTCCCTCAGGAATGTTCCTAAAGGACTAGGTACTCAAAGTTTGTACAGCGCAGTCACAAAAAATACTATTAGCCATAAATGTTTGTACGTTTCAATATTTTGCTAGCTACCCGAAGGCAGTGGTCGTTTGCGGCTGAACGGTGTGTTGCCTAAGTACGAAAACGTACTTGTGAACGTGCAAAAACGTTTTAGCAGAGAGAGAACAATAGTTTATATTGTACCGGAGGTAGTAGCAAAGCGAGGTTCAGATTATCGTTGGCGATGTCACATGTTGACGACGACAACGTCGGCAATTAGCAATAAACTTTTCTCTCTGGGGTCGACGACGGCCTCGGGTCCTCCATTAGAGTTCATATAATTATTTATATACGTTTACAGTTTACACAGACGCGGCAAAGTGGTACAAGTCGTGACACGGCGTTTTCAAATGTTTCCATCCTTTAAGAATGAAAAATTGTATGAAACTTGCGCGGCCGTGAGATATAAAGGGACACGTCGGCAATGCACAATTATTTGTATTACCCGCAAAATGGTGACCAGGTGGCGTAACCTACAAGAACATTATTCGTCATAGGCACGGAAAAATTAAATATATATATATTATATTCTGTATTATTACCACATTTTTTATCGAAGTGTCACTTGGCCTTCAAATAAGTCACCGATATAATGTAGATTCTGTCTTAAATTAAACGCTTACTCGTTGTGTCACGTTTACGTTTGGAAGTTGAACGTTATTCATTATCCACAAGATAATGAATATCTTCCGGACAGACGATCAGGAGCTGTATAGGTTATGCCCAAGTGAATAGTAAGTGTGTGTGTGTAAGTATGTGTTAGTGCATGGGAATTATCTGCGGTGCTGTGCGGCGGCTATGGCACCGATTCTCGCGGGATAACGATCGAAGAAACGGCCGGTGTATTTTATTCTCAGACCACCACTCCTTCCGCTCGCTTTGCCCATACAACACTTGGTAATGTATAAGTATATTGTAACATATATGTATGTATATATATAAATACTTATACCCACAAACACTTCGAGTATCATGGCCTTGTGTGTGTGTGCGTATGTGGTATAAAAGTGTATAAGAAACTCCTGGCGCACCCGAAGAGGTGCTATTCGAAATACTGGACAAAATATAACAACCCGTAATATAACATCACATTTTTTACAAATTATAATAATATATTATATTATACGCATAAAAATAATAATAGTAAAATCAAGTAAGAGTTAACTAATCACTAATTAACACATTGGAAACGAAAGACTAATCAATAGACTTTGTAAAGATTTTAACTTTTCCGCCAAAATGTTATCAATATTATTTAATTGGAAATCGCTGTGCTACTTATTGTTAGAAACCAAATGACTATTGACTTTAAATTTAAAATTTTACAAAGTTATAAGAAAAAAATCGATTGTTAAAAATTAACAATTCAAACAATTTTAAAAAATTAATTTTATACTACCAAGTTATCGACTCAAAAATAGGTGTTTGCATTTGAAAAAACAAAGTAGCTAGTCATATAACGCATAAGGAATGATGACAAAATGATATTATGGGTTCCTGCACACGGTTGCTTGGTTTTTTCGTTAATTCCACCTCAGCAAGTGCTAATAAATGATCAAATTGATTTTCATTAATACGGAAGAACTCGCGAAATTTCGTTTCTTAACAAATGCCTATTTATTAAAATGTCAAAGTATTTTTTGATATTTCTAGTTAGAAATATCATCCACTTTCTGTCTCTTTGTAACGAGTAATTAATAATTCATCTTCTTCGTCCTGCTCCTCAAGTAAGAGCAAAATAATTTTATTGTTATTTGTGGTACTTATATTGAAATCGAAACCGAAAACCACAATACACGTCTTCGTGACAAGCAAACCACGACGATAAATGCAATGAATAAAATGAACATTTTGACCATTTATAACCAGTTTTGAATAATTATCTTCAAAGTTATTGAAATTTAAAATGTAAGACGGAAAGAAGGGTGGAGAAGTAAAGGTATTTTTATCTGCGCGCATTACTCGACCGCACTTTCTATTAGAAGCGTTAGGCCATTTGTATTGTATTAGGTCATTGTATTTTGTTCTAAAATAAAAAAAAATACTATACTACTATACTATTACGGTCAACATAAATATGTAAGTATACTTTTAAACAATTTAACGGTTTTCTTAACTATACACATTTAACGCATATGTAATCCATTCGACTTTTGAGAAGTACTTTTAATACTATTATATGACCGTGTGTGTGTCAAGTGCTACAGATAATAATGGAAGGGACAAGAGGGGGGGGATAGGGGTTCGATTACTATCCCCATAGATGCCGTGGGGTTGGGGGGCACGGGTGATAGCCACGAGGGGCGCGCCGCGAAAGTAGTAATTTTTTCGGCGTTGGACGCCCAAAGCCGGGCGGCACGTTTAGTCACCTACTGGCCGCGCCGTCGCCACCGCCGCCGCCGTTCCACGGTCGTTGCCAACGAAATCGCGCGGTACACGTTTCGCGTACGTGTTAATACAATAATAATCGCTAAAATATCATATCACATTAAATCGGTACACAAGCACTGAGATTAGTTAAATAATTTTTTTTTTTTATTTGTCCCGTTTCAAACCGTCGAATAGGACCATTTGTAATTAAGTCAAGTTTGGATTACCGGCACCGGCAAAGCCGTCATGTGAACGCCACGAGCGGCCGCCAAGTGTAAGTGGACACACCGCGTGGCCACCGGTCAACCCGCCTTACGTTCGCCGTCATGTTCAACGGGGCCACGGCGGTGGCCACAGTGTTGGCCGCCGTGGTGTTCGCCACGGCCAGCGAATACCCGGAACGCGAGTGTTGCGACCCCATCGACTTGCCGCCTTCGCCGCCGCCGCCATCGTCTGGAGCCGTGGCCATCAAAGCCGCGGCCGCCGCACGGACCACCACGGTGGCTGTTCCCAGAGGTACGTTAAAATACTTATACCTATTATCTAACTTTCAATCATACATGAATCGTGCACATGTACCCCGTCAAAAAATATATATATACTGGGTACACTCTAAGTATATTGATATCTGGTAAAAATATCCATTACTAAAAATATCCGATAACCAAAATAGCCGAAAACTGCGTTATATAAATTACAAGTACAATATTCATTCTATATTTTACGGGTTTTTAAATGCTACTTTTTAAACGTGGCACGCTAAAGCCGGATAACATGTAACAATGTAAGCGCGAGTAAAGCGACAGTAATCAAAGGCCGTCAACTAGTTAAACCTAGTAAAAGTGATTACGACGTAACCAGGTCGATTTGATAAAGTACTTTTTTGTTTTCGTGCAAAATTTAAAATAATGTATTCCTCTTTTTAGTAAGACTTTTTATTTATTCAAAAGATTTTTACATTTTTTCAAAAACATTTTCTAGATTTAAATTTGTAGGTATTCATATCGTTTTTCGATGTCGATAATAACCATTGTATTTAATTCGAATAATTCCGAATTTAATAATCACAACCAACTTATTTTCACCTACTTTTAAGAACTGTATTTTGAGACAGTCACAAGTAAATATATTATAATTTTATTATATTTTATTCAATATATAACAATACATTTACAATAATAGAACAGAAAAAAGGTACATGAATAAATTTAATTTGGTATTTCAGTTATTGCATCTTGTATGATGTTGATTCGGTAATTTAAATATTATATAACATGAATACATCCTTCTTAATAAATGGGAGTTAAACGTCCTCTTAAATCTTGTACTCATAGGGATTTTTATTTGTGTCATCAATAATAATATTATTAATATGGATTATAGTTTCTTATTTCTTTGAAAAACTGTACTTATTGACCACCACGGCTGGAGTAAAGGGAAGAACCGTAGAGTTTCTTTTCAGCAGTATAGAGTCTTGATTGCATGTTGTAATTAATGTGTACTTACGTTACAAGTACAGTGTAACGGCATTGTATTCCGTGGGTTATCTTTTGGCAAACAATACGGAACAATTTTGAGCTTCATAGTTAGATATAGGCATTGCCACACGGACGAACTATAGAAGATTATAATGTTTATAGCGAACTCTTTGCTTTTATTGAATAGTCGTACGTTTCGGGAATTTGTGATCAGATGTATGATGTAACCCTTTTTGTCTTGTTGTACATTACAACCTCTTAATTTGTATTTTTTGTAACATTGAAATTTGTGGAGCCAAACCTCGTTGCTGTAAACCACCCACAGCCAGTGGCTCCTGTAAGGTGACAGTGGCTTTCGGGAAACCCAGGAAGAACACAAAGGCCGCGTAAATGCTGAAAATGACCAGACTCATGGCGAACGTCTCGTTTATTTGAATCTGAGCGCTGCGGTCATCAGGTCAAGCGATTATAATGGGTGTGATGTGTCCGACGGATAAACGTCACGCACTTGTTCTGGGTAATCGTGTTGACATTTAAATCGATTTCGCCGACACCCTGTGTCGAGAATTACCGGTTGCCGTGCATGGGAAAATGTTCGATTGTCATCTGGTCCCTGTCAAAGTTTACCGAATCTCCTAGATACCGTTCAATGAGATGCCGACCTAAGTCAATCGACTAACTATTAATTTCAATTCACTATCATATTCATACGATTTTGAGCTCAATTTTCAAACACAACGTCCACTAAGATGCATTATTATAAATTTATAAAAACTTTGAATAATTACAAAACCATTAAGAGATTCTGTGGTTGTTATATATAGCTTATAAATTCCAGTTTTGTCGGATTTTTCAAGTCGGCAATTAAAGTTTGAAAAGTGTGTCGAAATTAAATCAAATGAACGTCTGTTCATATTAAATAGTCTATATTTAATAACATTAAAAAAAACAATAATCACTGAAAACCTAAAAAAAAAAAAACTATTATAATGTACACCAAATGAGTATAAGATGTTTTACCAATACATTTTGACTATAGATATTTTGGTTTTCGGGTATTTTTTTGCCTGGATATTTTTCTAGTAATTTTTTTAGCGGTTAAAATTTAACACAGGAGTCAAAGTGCGGATAATGCGTGCATATAAAAATAATTTCACTCCACAGTTTTAAGTTAACCCAAACTATGCTTGCCCGGAGAATTAGAAAGGAACTGTTTTTCAAAATACGTCTTCTGTGGATTGGGTGGTTAAAAACCAAAATTTTCTTGTACGAAAATCTCACAACCAACCAATCATTGAAGTGTAAAGCCGTTTTTTCATGTTATTTTTTTCGGTAAACAAACTTTTGCCGAGCATAACAGCGGGAACGTGCGTAGTGCATTCCTTTAGTGATAACGTGACAAGAGTCAGAGAACCGGCTAACATTTGGATATTTTACCGGTAGACCAGGTCAACCGGGCGGGCACAATAATTACATAGGCAGTAGCCAAATTGATACTACGGCAATTTGTGTGTGTCCGGCAAACGCAATAGTACATTACGGGTACGGCCGACCTCTGGGGCGGCTTAAGAAGGGTGCGTTTGCCGTCCGGTTAATTGCCACGTTGAGCATTGGCTGCAGGCTAAGGATCGAGTTACTTACTGGTTTGACACGTTTAATCCACACGACCGTGTACGCGGTACCTAGGTATTGCATAACAAACGCAAAGGGACTTTATTTTTTGAAGTCAAGTTGTTTTTCTATCGATTTTGGTAGTTTTTAGTAGCGTTATGTAACGGGTCAGATTAATGGAGACACGACGTGGATGTGACCGACGACACGGTTCGGGGTTTTGAATATGCCGGTAATTTAGAAATTAGTGGTAGGTACAGCGCACGGCGGTACACAGGCGATAGGAGAGTCAGAAGCGCATTATTATAAGTCGGTAAAAATGGTAAAAAAAAAAATAATAATAATAAAAATAATAACAATAAACGCCGGTCGGAAACACGCAACCCCGGAGCCGTGGTCGTCGTGTAGCTTTAGCCAAAGAATCAATACGTTACAGAGTATAATAATAATATATTTTCTGTGCGTGTGTGCGTTGTACCTGTACAAAATGATAAATTATATTAATATAATACTTTGGTAGCGTCGGTTGTGCATTTTGTACGTTAAGAACGGCAACAGCTGCTGTTGTTGTTGTTGTTGTTGATTGCTGCTAATTTTCGAATCTGCCGCGGGTTTGGACGGGAGGGGATTTCCAAGCTCGTTTACGACACGTAGGTAAAGAATTTAATCTAAAACCCATTTACTGAGACCTGGAATTGAAAAAGAAGAGCAAGCTGAAAGTAGGCTCTGTAATGTCATGTCGAGGATCTCAAGGATTCGAAAAGTGACTAATGAATAGAATAAATACACGATGGTCAAAACTGGTACACACCCTGTTCAGATAACTGGCTGACCAGAAAAAGAGTGGAAGAGTTGTTGTAGGTCAACAGTTTAAAAGAAAAACGAGTGTCCTACTCTCGTGTGAATAATATAAAACCGAAAAAAAATGTTTTCCAAAATTTGACAATGGACCAATTTTAAAAAAAAATATAGTTAGAGCTGAAATTTATTGTTGTTGAAATGGCTTTTATTTTTAGTAAAGTGAATGTGAGAAATGGCTACATAAGGTATGAATACATTACAGAAATAAGAAGAAAACAATAGGACAGAAGGTACATAGATTTAGGAATGCAAATTTGTTTCTTCAAGTTCAAAATTATTTAAACAAAAAAAACCATTAAACATATTATAACTTTCTCCTTTTGGATTTATGGAATGGTGACGTGACTTTCATCTTAAATTTTAAAGGAAATTTTGAGAAATTACCGTCGAGATAGCAGTAGTTAGGTATAGACTTTAAATTAAAAACACGATCAAGGGATGAGCAGGATCTCTTCTGATCCGTGTTGGATTAAAGTAATAAGCTACATTATATTATTATTTAATGCGTCTAACACGGCACCACTGTTCTGGTGATAACCCATCTTGTTGACACCATAGTATGATTGGTTGTCATCAACTTTTAGTTGACTGCGACTTATCAAATAAAATAGAAAAAAAAATTGATAATAACAGTTAAACGAGTTTACCATAAGTTGAAATTATGCAAGGTAACTGACGGCTGGCACGACGGTTGACGTCATTATGCCATTATTAAACAATAATGGACACTTTGGCTGACTTCGAAGGAATTATTTATACACTTGGCTCGTGTCGGCTGAAGCTCTGTCCCAGTGTCTTCTCTCCGTGTAATTCGACGTTAAAATAGCAAATAAATTATTATTAAAGATTCGTTACGTAGCAGTATAGCAATATAATATAACATATTGGGTACAGCAGCTGTAATTAGGAAGTTACACTTATAAAACATGTAAGAACGTCTCTGGCTTCTGTAGATATCTTCCACGGTTTCAGGTAAACGACAGCGTGTCTACAGGTTATTAGATCCAGACCTTTTGTATTATCATTATATTATATGGATAACTGAGTTTGTACTACTAAATAATTGCTGGAAAAGCAATATCACAAGCTAATTTAGCGTGCAATGTCGGTGGTTATATGTATCTTAAATTCATAAATTTTTACGAGGGAACTTTACAAGTTACAGGAATTAAACCCGATCAAACCTATTCCATAGAGAAGCGCTCAACTCAAAATGATAATGTTATTATCTTTTTATAACACTGTAATGTTATTACAGTATTGTGATATTTTATATAATAGTAACCTTTTCGTTGCAAAAATTTGATGCTTTCGGAAAAATTTTAAATTAAGAGATAATAATTGTAATATTCAAATAATGACAAGTTAACACTCGGATGAATTGAAATAAGAATCAACGATATCGCTTTTAATAAAAAACGAATTACTTTCAAAATAATAATAAATGTAACAAATAATAACTAAACGAATTCGACGTATCTTTTGATTTAAAATTATAATAATATAATTAGCTATAGTAAAATAGCTTCAGCTTCATTTTAGTACTGTAGAAATAATAAATATAAC